GACGTTTACGGGCTGGGCGTCACGGTGCCGGCACGCGCAGAGGCCTTGCCCTGCGCCCACATGGGTATCAGGCCAGTGAGGACCAAAACCTGCACTGCCCTGGCTTCTGACATGTTCAAGAAACAGATCATTTGAATGCTTCTCTGTAGCACTTGGCACCACTGTGCATTTACACGTGTGAAGGCCGTGTGCTTCTTGACCGTGCGCTTCAAGGACGTGGCTGTGTCGTTGGTGATATTTGGCATCTTTATGGGTACTTGGCACGTAGTGGGTACTTACTAAAATTTTTTTAAAGTTTATTTTGAGAGAGACAGAGACAGCACAAGTGGAGGAAAGGCAGCGAGAGAGACAGAGAGAGAGAGAGAGAGACAGAGAGAGAGAGAATCCCAAGCAGGCTCCATGCTGCCAGCACAGAGTCCAATGTGGGGCTCGAACCCACAAAGCTGTCAGATCATAACCTGAGCCAAAACCAAGAATCGGACGCTTAACCGACTGAGCCACCCAGGTGCCCCTAGTAGGTATTTATTAAATGTTACAGGAAGGGGACACCTGGGTGTCCAACTCTTGATTTCAGCTCAGGTCATGATCTCACTGTTTGTTAGTTGGAGCCCCATGTGGGGCTCTGTGTTGGCAGTTTGGAGCCTGCCTGGGATTCTCTCTCTCTCTCTCTCTCTCTCTGCCCCCCTCCACTCGCTCTCTCTCTTTCAAAATAAATAAATAAAGAAAATTTTGTAAAATTTTTAACATTTTTTTTGAGAGACAGAGAGTGAGTGGGGGAGGGGCAGAGAGAGAGGGAGACACAGAATCTGAAACAGTCTCCAGACTCTGAGCTGTCAGCACAGAGCCTGACGCGGGGCTTGAACTCACAAACTGCAAGATCATGACCCGAGCCGAAGTCAGCCCCTTAACCGACTGAGCCACCCAGCTGCCCCATCTAAAAAAGTTTTTAATGTTACAGGAAGGAAGGGAGGAAGGGAGGAAGGGAGGAAGGAAAAGAGAGAGGGAGGAAGGCTGGCAGAATCTTGGGTCTCCTGGGGTCCCCCTCTCCCCTCCACCTTTACCATCTTCAAGACTCTCCCCTCCTCCCTGGTTTCTTCCGGCTTCTGCCAGACACACGATGAAGGTCAACGCAGGACAGTTGTGAGGATTCCGAATGAATTCGCCGGAGGCTAACACGTTTCTGAGCATCTTTAAATGGGGTTTTAATCCCACCACTGACCCAAATTCCCAGGCCAGTGCCGCCAGGAGAGCACGGCCACACGCCCCTAAGGAGGGCACCCCGGGCAGGTGTGCCTGACCCCGGCGAAGGCGGCGGGGAGGGTGCACCTTCTCGAAGGCTGGGAGCCTCTACTGCAAACACCACCAAATGCTAGGCACCACAAATTATTCCGTGATTTTTACAGGAACCATAAATATTACATAGCACATTTCCTCAGTTCTACAAGCACAGGAAGCAGGTGCTACATGCCCTCCAACACGGTAATTAGGAGGACTCAGCCAGAGGACCAGCTTGCGCTATAAAAACACCGCCACTTGCTGTCTCCAGGCCGGTCATTAGGAGAGACCACAGTGAGAAGAATCCAGATTCAGAGAACGTCCGGAGTTGACTTGTGGGTTATCTCATAAGAGCTCCAGATTTTATTTTAGCTCCAGTGCTATCTGAGACTGATAACGGCCCCACCAAATCCAAATGAAATACATATTTTAGGGATTTTAATCTAAGCAATACCAGCAAATGTGCCACTTTGGGGATGAATTATTTATTTGTTTGAGGCTAAGAGAAAATCCACACAAGCAGACCAAGGCCCCGAAATAGCGGAAAGTAAATTAAAGCGGCAGCCTGTGGCCGGCTTAATGGGCAGACAGCCCCTCACCGCCCTTAAGTGTCACCAGAAATGAACTAGATGGGCCCCACCCGGGAAATGTTTAAAGATGCGCTGGTCTCAGACTTTGCTTTTCCACACGTTCTTGGAAGCATTGGTCTCTGAAGAGCACGTTGAAATGTTTAGGTTCCAAGGCCCCATCTGGAACACAAAGGTCTAGGGGGAATATTGAATCAATCCACCTTCTCATTCTGGGCTTTCTTGCCCACGTCGTTTGCAGAATTGTGTTTGAGGGTTGTAAAGGCATTACGAGTTTCACGGGTGGGGGTGCCAGGCGGAGCGTGCGTCTCCACCCCAAACCCCTCGGGGGTGAGGTGAGGGTCTGAGTCAGAGTCCAGACGGGTCCCAATTCATTGTTAATAAGCACCCCTGTCCAAAGAACATGAAGGCTGGGATCTGTTGTGTCCAACAGAAGTCTCTGCCCAGTGGGATGTTCTCGATCTACGCTGCCCAGTATAGTGGTCACTGGCCCCAAATGTTGTTAGAGTGACCAAGGAGCTGAACGCTTCATTTAAAATTTTTGTTTGTTTTGCATTCATTTAAATGTTAAAGTAGATGCTTGACACAGTTCTTGGAAAACCCTCAAGGATGTTTGGAACAACTTGGACATTTGAATCTGCTTTAAAAAAATTTTTTTTTAATGTTTATTTTTGAGAGAGAGAGAGTATGAGTGGGGGAGGTGCAGAGAGAGGAGGAGACACAGAATCTGAACAGGCTCCAGGCTCTGTGCTGTCAGAGCCCAACGCGGGGCTCGACCTCACGAACTGCAAGATCATGACCTGAGCAGAAGTCAGACGCTTAACCAACTGAGCCACCCAGGCGCCCCATGAATCTGTTTTTTTCAACCACAAATTTTATGAAGTCTAAATACAGATCAGGTGTTTCTGGTGAAAATTTAGGGGTCTGAATAGGGATATGCAGTAAGTAAAACATTTCATTAATAAATCTTACATTGATCATATGCTGGAATGATAAACATTTTGGGTATTTTGGATTACATAAAATATAATATTAAAATCCATCTCCTCTTCTGCATTTGCTGTTTTAAAATGGCTCTTAGAGAATTTAGATCACACGTGTGGCTGGTGTGATGGTTCTGGTGGCCGTGTTGATGGCCCAGTCTCAGCTGGGCACGCAGCACAGGGGTGATAAAGACTCAGCTCACATGGGGCTCAGGGTTGGAGGGACACAGACAAGCAAATGAAAAGCATGAGAATAACAGGAAGGCAGGAATGCTCTGGAGAAATCCCTGTGCATGGAACCCTCTAGGACCATGTGTCTATGACCCTGCACAACTGTAGACAACAGACCTGTTGGGGGTCCCAGATGCTGCAGCCCCCCCCCCCCAAATCAAGAGCAGAAAAATCAACAACCAGGACCGAGGCAAAAAGTCCTGACACAGGGACAGCTGATGCAGATGCCACCGAGGCCTCAGTGACCTCAACTTCAGAACACAAATCAGACCCCACGTCTGACAGCAAGATCGCCGTTTGGAGTCTCACGTATCCTGGGAAACCTGGACATCACCTGTGAGGTAGCCTCCCCCACCTCCCAATTCCCTTCCTGAACTGGCACTGCCCATGGCTGTCACCACACTGCTACCCTGGGTTAATGGCCTATGTTGCACCACGGGGCCCCAACCTTAATCAGGGGGAGGACCCCTTTGTAATGTCAGAAAAATCCACTTAGCCTGTGGATGGAGACACCAGTAGAGAACAAACAGCTATTCGAATGAATTCAGGCACACTTTTTTTTTTTTAAGTTATACCTCAGTTAGTTAGCATGTAGTGCAACAATGATTTCAGGAGTAGATTCCTTAATGCCGCTTATCCATTTAGCCCATCCCCCCACCCACAACCTCTGCAGCAACCCTCAGTTTGTTCTCTATATTTAAGAGTCTCTTACGCTTTGCCCCCCCCGCCGCTTTTATATTATTTTTGCTGCCCTTATGTTCATCTGTTCTGTATCTTAAATTCTACATGAGTGAAGTCATATATTTGTCTTTCTCTAATTTCACTTAGCATATTACACTCTAGTTCCACCCTCATTGTTGCAAATGGCAAGATTTCATTCTTTTTTATTGCTAATATTCCACTGTGTATACACACATATATCTCACCTCTTCTTTATCCATTCATCTGTAGATGGACATTTGGGCTCTTCCCATACATTGGCTATTGTCAATAGTGCTACCATAAACATTGGGGTGCAAAGGCACCCCACATTTTAAAAAAGAATTTAAAAGGTATTTATCACACCATCTCCATGCATTTGAAAACTAATCCACTGTGGGGAGACTGTATTTATGCCAGCTGCAGAGTGGGAGTGAAGGGCAGATTCTCTACACTGGTAGGAACTCTTGGACGCATGCTGGGAACAGGAGTGGACAGGGAAGGGTTTGGGGTGCCCTTGGGATCCTCAGGCCTTGAGTGCTGACACCAGCCTGGATTCAGGAGGGATTTTCTGCTCAGGAAAGAGGAGGTGAGTTTCCTGGGAGGTGAGAGACCCATAGAAGAAGCAGACCCTCAGGGCTGGATGAGCTGTGTGTGTGAAGCCACCCCCCGCCCCCCCAGGCAGTGATACTCAGAGAGGAGGCAGGACCACATGGTGGAGACTGACATTCCCTGTGTCTTCGTTTGGGCCTCTAGAAGCGGACTCAGAGACAAGGGTTTGAGGACAAGTGGCTTATTTGGGAGGGAAGGGTATGGGGTGGGAGAGTGAGATACGGGAAGTAATCCCATGGGGACACCCCAGGACTCGGGCGGAGCACCACCTCGCAGTCACCCCATCAGCGTGCAATGCCCTCTGGTGGGGTTTTATACGCGACATTAGTCATCTATTGCAGCATTAAAAAGTCATCCCAACACTTAGCTTAAAACAAGAGTACTTACGAGGCGCCTGGGTGGCTCGGTGGGTTAAGCATCCGACTCTTGCTTTCGGCTCAAGTCATGATCTCACAGTCGGTGAGTTCGAGCCCCGTGTTGGGCTCTGCGCTGACAGTGCCCGAGCCCGCTCGGGATTCTCCTTCTCCTTCTCTCTCTGCGCGGCCGCTTGCACCCTCTCTCTCTCTCTCTCTCT